ATCTAACTATGGGCAGTGAACACACAGTGCAATATGTATATGCCTTACTGTTTAACTGTATACCTAAAACTTACTGGATTTCATTAATCAATGTCACCATAAAAAATAAAATAAAATAATAAAATAAAAAATAAAATAACTACAAGGTATGTGAATGCCAGCTGTTCTTGGGTCTCCCAAGAAGCCCTCTTTTCTCTTAAAAAATAAGTAATAGTTATATGTATATACACATACATACTAATAGCAGTATGTTCTCAAGAGATTTCATATATGATCAATCTATCAAGGTGACCAATAAATTTGCTTACAAAAGTTACTGATTTTTATAGCTCTATTGATTTCTCAACTACCACTAAGTTCCTGGTTAGATGTCGCTGACCCCTAACATGAAAATTATTAACTGTAATATTTATGTGTCCTATAAATATTTGGTCAATGTGTTCCTGGCTTATGCTTTTGCCAAAGAGTAAACTCTGGGAAAATGTATTATATCTGTTTCATTTCACATTTGTGAATTTCTGAGGGCAGGGGCCATATTCGTTTAACTTATTTTACACAGTGTGAGTTCCACGCATAAGGGCATATATAAAAAAATCCAATATAATCAAGAGGTGAATGTTATTTCCGAGAAGGGGTTAAAATGTAGGCACGTTTATGCATCTCAATTTTTAAAAACTCATAAAACAAATACGATTTACAAGTGCCATATAAATCAGACCAACATATACGTCCATATTAATCGATAAATTGGGCAAGCTCATACTTTGACTATTTAGCATGGAGTGACAATTCTCAACTGGGTCTGATGTAGGCAGAGTTAAAAGAAAGTTCCAGCACAGCAGTAGAGCACCTCTTCCAACTGGCCTCCTCTGCCTCTTCAAGTCACGTCGATTAGGACTTTTCCTCTCTTTTTTTTTAAAAAAAGGCTTTTTTTCATGCCCGTGCTTTCCATCCTATGCAAAATATGGGTGAGTTCAAGTGTGAAGTGATAAAAGAGAAAATTAAAATGATAGCTAACACTTACATAGAACTTATTATATGTCAGTCCCAATCCTAGGTGTTTTGCATATATTAACTCATTTAATTCTTACAAGTACCCTATGAGGTCAGTTCTATTATGCTCATTTTCAATGGAGGAAAACTTTTCATTTCACTGAAGGAAACTTAGCTCCACAAGGAATAAATATCTTGCTCAAGTTCAAAAATCTAGTGAATCTGGGATTCAAACCCAGGTAGTCCAGCTCCCAGGTCTACCTTAACCACTACCATATGACCAGAAAGAACCCCCTTGAGTATGTGCCGGTCATCTTTACTTTTATCATGAGTGGTTTTGACCTGGGTACTTAGTAAGTGGTACAATAACTCTCAAATTTCTTAAAAGTCATGGCAAAACCACAGATTGGAAAAAAAAGAAAAAAGAAAAAACAGCAACAAAAATTTCAAAGTATTTAAAACCTACTTTAAGTTATTGGATGTGTTGGTATATATGTGATGTGCATTGTGGTGACATGGTAGCTAAGAATGGAAGCTCCTGAAAGTCTGGGGACCTCTGATGATACTCAAGCTATTTCTTTAGCTTGAGCTTATTTATCCATTCACCTACTGAAGGACATCTTGATCGCTTTCAAGTTTGGCAATTATGAGTAAACATCCATGTGCAGGTTTTGGTGTGGACATAAGTTTTCAACTCCTCTGGGTAAATACCATGGATCACTATTGCTAGATCATGAGGTAAGAGTACATCTAGTTTTGTAAGAAACCACCAAACTGTCTTCCAAAGTGGTTATATCGTTTTGTATTCCCATCAGCAATGAATGAGGGTTCCAGCTGCTCCACATCCTCACCAGCATTTGGTGTTGTCAGTGTTCTAGATTTGGGGCATTCCAATAGGTAGTGGCATCTTACTGTTCAGTTTGAATTTTCCTGATGACATATGATATGAAAAATCTTTTCATATGCTTATTTACCATCTGTATATCTTCTTTGTTATCTGTTAAGGTCTTTGGCCCCTTTTAGGGTCATTTGTTTCCTAATTGCTGGGTTTTGAGAGTTCTTTATGTGTTTTGGATAACAACTTTATCATATATTTTTTGCAAATATTTTCTCCCAGTCTGTAGCTTGTTTTCTCTTTCTCTTGCTAGTGTCTTTCACAGAGCAGTTTTTAATTCTAATGAAGTCCAGCTATCAATTATTTCTTTCATGGATCATGCCTCTGGTATTGTATCTAAAAAGTCATCACCATAGATCTTCTAGATTTTCTCCTGCTATCTACTAGGAGTTTTATAGTTTTGCATTTTACATTTAGGTCTGATATCCATTTTGAGTTCATTTTTGTGAAGGGTGTAAGGTCTGTGTCTAGATTCATTTCGTGTGTGTGCGTGTGTGTGTGTCTATGCCCAATATTTCTAACACCATTTGTTGAAAAGACTATCTTTATTATAGTGCTTTTGCTCCATAGTCAAAGATCAGTTGACTGTATTTATGTGGGTCTGTTTCTGAACTCTCTGCTCTGTTCCATTTATCTATTTGTCTGTTCCTTCACCAGTACCACAATGTCTTGATTACTGTAGCTTTAAAGGAAGTCTTAAAGTTGGGTAGGGTCGTTCCTCCAACTTTGTGCTCCTTCAATATCGTGTTGGCAATTCTCGATCTTCTGCCTCTCCATATAAACTTTAGAATTAGTTTGTCCAATTCTAAATAACTTACTAGAATTTTGTTTGGGATGGCATTGAATCTACAGATCAATTTGGGAAGAACTGAAAATTTGACAATATTAACTCTTCCTAACAATGAACATGGAATATCTCTCCATTTATGTAGTTTTCTTCATATAGATCTTGTACATATTTTGCTAAGTTTATGCCTAATTCATTTTTTGCCATACTAATGTAAATGGTATTATGTTTAATTTCAAATTCCACTTGTTTATTGCTGGTATATAGGAAAGCAGTTTTGTATACCGACCTTGTATATCACAACCTTGCCACACTTGCTTATTTGTTCCAGGAGTTTTCTGGTTGATTCTTTTGCACTTTCTATTAAATTATCATGTCATTTGTAAACAAAGACATTTTTATTTCTTCCTTCCCCATCTGTATACCTTTTACTTCCTTTCCTTCTACTTATTGCATTAGCTAGAATTTCCAGTATGATGTTGAAAAGTTGTGGTAAGAAGAGACATCTTTGCATTATTCCTGATTTTAGAGGGAAAGCTTCAAATTTCTCACCATTATGTACAATATAAGCTAGAGCATTTTGTTTTGTTTTTTTTTCATGAATAGGTACAGGAATTTCTCAAATGCTTTCCTGCACCTATTGATATGATGCATGTAGTTTTTTCTTCTTTAGCCTGTTGATGTGATGAATTACATCAATTGATTTTCCAATGTTGAAGCAGCCTTGCATACCTGGACTAAACGTCACTTGGTCATGGTGTATAATTCTTTTAATACATTGTTGGATCTTACTTGCTAATATTTTGTTGAGGATTTTTGCATCTATGTTCACGAGAGACATTGGTCTGTAGTTTTCTTGTAACATCTTTGTCAGATTTGGGTATTTGAGTAATACTGGCCTCACAGAACGAGTTAGGTCTGATATCCATTTTGAGTTCATTTTGAGCTTCCATTTTGAGCTTCTGTCTTCTAAAAGAGATTGGAGAGAATTGGCATAATTTTCTCCTTAAATGTTTGGTAGAATTCACCAGTGAGCCCTCTAGGCTTGGTGCTTTCTTTTTTGGAAGGTTATTAAATGTTGAGTCGACTTCTTTAGTAAATATAGGCCTATTCGGCTTGTGTATCTCTTCTTGTGTGAGTTTTGGCAGATTGTGTCTTTTAAGGATTTGGTCCATTTCACCTAGGTTGTCAAATTTGTGGGCATAGAGTTGTTCGTAGTATTATTTTATTATCCTTTTAAGGTCCATGGAATCTGTAGTGATACTTCTCTTTAATTTCTGATACTAATATGTGCCTTCTCTCTTTTTTTCTTAATTATCTTAAGCTAAAGAGCAATCTGACTTACCTTTTCAAAGAACCGGCTTTTGGTTTTGTTGATTTTCTCTATTGATTTCTTGTTTTAAGTCACATGGATTTCTGCTCTAGTTTTAAATTATTTTTTTCTACTTACTTTAAATTTGTTCTTCTTTCTCTAGTTTCCTAAGGTGGAAGCTTAGTTAGTTGTTTTTAGGTCTTTCTTTTTTTCTAACATATTCATTCACTGTATAAATTTCCTTCTTGGCACTGTTTTCACTGCGACCACAAATTTTTGATAAGTTATGTTCTTATTTTAATTTAGTTCAAAATGTTTCATAATTTCTCTTAAGATGTGTTCTCTAACTTATGTTATTTACAAGTGTTTTGTTTAATTTCCAAGTATTTTCAGATTTTCCAGCTACCTTTGTTACTAATATTTAGTTTAATTCCATTGTCATTTGAGAGTAGATGCTGTGTGATTTTTATTCTTTTATATTTGTGAGGTTGTATTTTATGACCTAAAAATGGTGAATGTTCCATGTGATCCTGAGTGGAATGTGTACTCTGCTGTTGTTAGATAAAGTAGTTTGGAGATGTTCATTATACCCCCCCTTTTTTTTTTGTACATGAGCATAGATACAATTGCAGTGTAATGTAATTTGTACAAGTCCCCTTGAATATACAGATGTCACATGCATAGATATAATCTGATGGTTAGCTCTATTTGCCAAAGTTTTTTTATCACGTTTTCATATTTCACCTTTACCTGCATATTCATGACATTAATAATCCATACTCTTGACACATGCTTGAAAAACTTTAACTCTGCCTGAGTACTACCACCTTCCAAAGCAAGGAAGGAGGAGGCTAGAATGACCAAAGAGATTCCAAACACTAAGGAGATCATTAATTTCCCAAGAGTCTATGACTTCTTAAGGTCATACAAAGGGAAGTGTGATAGCTCCCTAAGGCTGTAGTATAAAGTATTAAATATTGGGTGAAATAAACAATATAAATTTATTGTCTCACAATTCTGGAGGCTAGCAGTCTGAGATCAAGACGTCCACAGGGCTGGTTCCTTCTGGAGGCTGTGAGGGAGCATCTGTTCCATGCCTCGCTCCTAGCTTCTGGTGGTTTGCTGGCGACCTTTGACATGCCTTGCATTACAGGTGCACCATCTTGATCTCTGCTCATCTTCACGTGCCACTCTCTCTGTGAGTGTCAGCGTCCAAACTTCCCCTTTTAATAAGGACAGGAGTCATACTGGATTAGAGACCCACTCTACTTCAGCATCTTAACGAATTACATCTGCAATGACCCTGTTTCCAAATAAAGTCATATTCTGTGGTACTAGGGGTTCAGACTTCAACATATAAATTCTGAGGGGACATAATTCAACCCTTAACAAGGAGCAAACAGCAGCGTTGGTGTGACAAAATAAAAAGATATAATGGAATTTGCATTCCAGTCTTAGTCTGTCAACAATGTGTTGCTGACCTTGAGAAAACTTGGCCTGTTTCTTCATCGGCAAAATAAGGGAGTTCCTACAGATATCAAAGTTTCTCTTGTTATGCTCAAAACAGCACTGCTATGAGAAGACTTAAAACAAATTTTTAAGTTAGATTCTGGGTTTTAAACAAACCATCAACTCAAAAGAGAGACCTTTTGAAAGGACTGTAGGATGAAGAAGGTCGGCACAGAAGGGACAGGGTCCCTGGGACTGGTTCGCCAGGAGAGTTGCCCTTACACATACACTGTCACAAGAGCATTGCCTTCAGGCCATGATCATTCCCAACCTTTTTGGAATTGCAACACACAACATGTTATGGTTCTTTATTTGATTTTGTGATACTACCTATTACCCTCCACCTCCCCAGACTTCCCTTTCCCCAAGCCCCAGCCCAGAGGAACTGCCAAACATGGACTTACTTTTACAAATTAATTAGGTCTTGCAAATTTTGTCATACCCTACGATAATCCTATTCCCTCTGTCAAGGTTGTGAACAAAAGAAGATGGCCACTGGACACAGGAATGGCTAGAGGAGAGAATACTTGGGACCACCATTTTTGGAAATTATAAATTATTTTTAATACCACCTTCCACTATTTTAAAGCATTTACACAAGAGCAAATACATAGAATTGAATGTCACAGTTACCAGGAAAAAATAATAAAACATTAACATTATTTGGAATAAGGGGTGGTAGATTTATGGGTAATTTTAATTTCTTCTCCACACTTTTCTCTATTTTCAAACATTTCTATTCTAAGTAAGTACTGCTAATAATCCAAAATAATAATAACTTTTAAAAATGAAGTTTATTCCTCTATTCTACAAATGTTTATTGAACACTTACTACATGCCAGGCACCGTCATAACAGTAAAAATTACAACTCCTGCAGAGCTTCCATCATGGGGAATGGCGACATTATTCGGCACAGGTCATCTGTTCCTCTGTGTAAAAGTTTACTTTAAGTAGATTTTCGGGGCAGATGATGTAGGAGAGACTGCAGCCTGCTGGGGGTAACATGTGCCCCAAAGAAGGAAACAATGCTGAACAGCGAAGGTTTAAAGACAGTGAGAAGCACACTGCATCAGTGTCTGGATTTTACTGGAAGCTGGCTCTTGGAGTCAGATCTCCACCCTCTCTGGTCCAAGGCTACCTCTTGACCTCAACTACCCTCCCTGGGACATTGTGAAACCCGAGTTGGGCATCACCCACACTTGGGTACTGGTCAAAATGACCTGAGAAGGACAGGGCATACAGCTGACATCAGCGTGAGGAAAGCTACATGGGCCCATGCCCATCTGCTGATGTAGGCGCCATTCCTTGGGAGGGCAGTGGGTTCTCTCTGAGCCACATTTCAAGGCAACGTGCTAGACATTTATGGAGATAAAAATGGCTGGAGGAGCCTGTCTTTTATTATTGTCCATGTCCTAAGGTTTAGAAAATTGCTAGTTTTCACTAGCATCTCGTGATTTCTTCACTGAGTGTGATAACGGAAATGGTAATGATGCTCAGTGGGCACCACAAAGAGCAGGAAGCCCTGGAGAGGCCTGGAATAGACAGCCCCAGTGATCCTTGCCTTCTATTATTCAAGCCCCCATGTGGTCCTTCCACATTCGATGAGGGCTGACTTGCGTGACGAATGCATCACTGCAGAAGCGATAGCATGTGACTTCCAAGGCAAAGGTCAAAAAATGCACTGCAACTTCCACCTTGGTCTCTTGATCTTCTGATCTGGGAAAAGCCAGCTTCCCTGTTGTGAGGACACCTGGATAACACTGTGGAGAGGAGCCCCACATGAAGAGGAACAGAGGCCTCCAGACAATAGCACTATCAACTTATCCACCATGTGCATGAATGGCTTTTGGAGAAGATAGATTCTCCAGCCTCATTAAAGCCAGCTCTTGGCTGCAACCTAATGGGAGATCCCCTAAATACCCAGGCCAACCACTCTTGAATTTCTGACCCATGCTGTAATAAATGCTCCTCCGAAGCTGTCTACATACTATTCCCTGGAACCTGTGAATACGGCACCTTACATGGCAATTGGTGACTTTGCAGATATAAGTAAGGATCTTAAGATAAGGCAATTATCCTGGATTATCTGGATGGGCCCAGTCCCTTGGGCTTGAACTCTAACCTGCCTGAGATCTAAAGTCTTTGCAAACTTTAGAACAGGTGAATACCATAGAAGAGAACATTCTTAATTGTGCAAGGGAACAGTTCACGCCACAAGGATTCCCCCAGGCTCTGAGGACTGGGTCTGCCCTTGACAACTTTTACTTCCTCTAGAGAAATAGGTGCTTGTGGATGAGGCCTAGAAACTGTCTTTTTTTTTGCTTTTGCAGAGTGCTAAGAAAAATTATTCAACACTTGGAAATAAGGCAAATGATAATTGCATGTCTTCAAAAGTCACTTCCCCCCCAAAAATTATTGATTCTCTAGGAGTAGTGTGCCTTTGACTTATTACTTGCTCTTCGGCTCAGGCTCTATAAAGTTGGATGCTCTTTTTGTTTGGTCAATTGCAAATGTCTTTTGTAAAGTAAAGATGAAAACAATTTCTTGTCTAGTAGAAAGAGTAACTTCTGAGTTTAGTTTATTGCCATTTTCTGGGACTGAAGTTACCTAGGACGTGAGACTTTTAGTGCTAAAACCAGGACCATCTAGGGCAAACTGCGACGGTTGGTCACTCTACTTGTGAGAAATTAGTCAGTTTTGGAACCAACTTGGTCATCTTCTTTCAACATTCTATCTGTTGTCCAGAAATACTCTGGTCTCTCCTCTATGCCTCTGAAAGTTTTCTTATACTTATCTACCATTCTGTCATTAATAAGCTAAATAACTCTTTGACACACTCGCTTTATATTTGTGAGTCAGGCTTTTTAACTGTTTTAAGTGGGTGCTTTGACAAGAGAAGGGGTTTCTCTGGGACTGGGGGTGGTTGTGGGAGGTGCTCCTGAGGGGGATCAGCCCTGAGAATCCATACTGGAGAAGCAGTTTTTATTTTTCTTATTTTTCATCCCTTTATTAATCCTCTTTCTCTCGAGCCTCTAGATATGTTTCAGTTTCTTCTTTCTAGAAATAAAGCCTTTCTCTCTCCTAGCAATGGCCCTGTCTCCTAAGCTTCTATCCAAAAGTGAAATCCAGTTTCTTCCTAGCAAGTCTCTCATGAGCTAGCCAAGGTCTGACACTATCCAAATACAACTGACATGCTCTTGAATTTACTTAACTTTGTAATAATAAAAAAAATGCTTTCGGCTACTAATACCCGAGCTTTACTGAATACCCAATGCTCTTTGAGTATTTGTCTTTCATTGAGCATCTGATATTCAGTGACCATATTCTCAACCACTTGGTACTGCTTACTGATCACTTGTTCCTCCTTGTTTACGGAGCAATATTTCCTTAATATCGCTCAAATCTTTTTTCTCTTCATCCCCAATGCCAAGGCCTCGGCTTGGGCCACCTCTCCTTCCAAACATCCTGAAATGTTATTTCCATAATGAATTTGAGTAAAATCGTTTCCTTGATTAAAAGTCATCTCTGGTGGCTCCACATGGCCTGCAGTCACAAACCTAGCATGCACACCAATACACAACTATTTCTTTATAAATTGTATCTCTATAATATTGTATATATCTCTATAATACCTGCATAATATTGGTAATGGAAGCCACTACCAATGTATAGCTACCATTATAAACCAGGTACAGAAAAAGGAATTCACAAAGAGATAACATTAATACAAATTAAATAGTTCTATTTCTCCCCAATACACTGCAGTGGAGGCTGTGAGCACTACTTGGAGACCACAGACCCACGGCGATAAGTCCAAGTACGTATATGTGAATGACTTTCAAGGCTTCTTATGATCTAGCCCCCTGTCTACCTCTTCTGTCTCATTTCCTTTTACTTCCTCCCTTGCTCCCAGTGCTCTGGTCCAAATGGAAAGATTTGAACTTGAAGCTCCCAAACCTGCCTGCTATTTGCTGCCCTCTCCTTGGCTCCCCAAGCCCCAAGCCCCAAGCCCCCAGCCCCTCTGTCTTATTTATTCCCAAAAGCGGCCCTCAAGCACTCCTTCCTCTAGGGATCTGTTTTTTGATTACTGCTGCCTCCATATCCTATCTACACTCCATGCACATCTTTTTCTTAGCAATAACACACAACATTTACCTCTCTGCCTCTCTCATTAAACTGTGAGCTCTCTAAGGGACTGTCTTATTCACTTAGGCGAATATAGTGTCTGATAAATAATAACAATAACAATAAGAACAGCTAACACTTTTATAGCCACTGCTCCAAGTGTTTTACACATATTTACTTTACTTAATCCTGTGAATACAAGTATCCCCTATTTTGCATCTGAGGACACTTGGGCACAGAGAGGTTGAGTAACTTCCCAAGGTCACTTATACAGTGTGCACAGTTCAGGAATTATTGAACTAAACTGAACTGCGCGTACTCTACCCCACCTC